AAAAAAAAACCTTTAAAGCAGTAGCACCAAGCATTCCACTTCCGCCAGAACCAATTTTAACGCGTTGGGGCACGTGGCTGTGTGCAGCGAGTTATTATACCGAACACTTAGAAACAGTTAGGAATGCCGTGAATACATTTAATCCCAAAAGTGCAGCATCAATTCAAATTGCCCAAGATGTACTAAAAATCGCAGAACTATAAACTAATCTTTCCTATACAAGGTGTTTCACGACTTTAGGGCATAACTGCAGGAGGTGATTTCCTAGGTCTTTGTGATCAAACAAGTTCATATAAACATGGGTCCGATTTTGGACGGTTACGGAGTTATGACCGTTTTAAACTCAGAATAGAAGGTAACGATTACTGACAATAAACGGAACAAAATAATAAACCAGCATAATACATGATACTGTACATTTAAAGTATGAATGTAAAGTTAACTTCGTGAAATTAGCTTTAATTTGAATTGACTGGTGCTGATTTTCGAAAATGTCACCGCCGGCCGCAACACACGCTGCCGCTCGGTTGTGAACCGCGCCGGACATACCAACCCACCCCGCTCTGAAGAGTCGAGATAACAAGAACGCTCTGTCTGTAGCTGGCTAAAAATAGCGACCCGCCAGCTGACAGACGCGGTTCATACGAGGGCGTGTACGGGAATGAAAAAAAACGGTCATAACTCCGTAACCGTCCAAAATCGGACACATGTTTATATGAACTTTTTTGATCACAAAGACCTAGGAAATCACCTCCTGCAGTTATGCCGTAAAGTCGTGAAACACTCTGTATATCTGCTCACTTCTCTCATCTTCCATCCGCCATTTCCTCACTGGAGGCAAGCAATAGAAATACTACATTGTATCAGTCGTTAGGTGTGTTTAAAACCATTGTTTCCAAATTGAATTCGGTTCCTGGAAGAGTTGGTGAAGTAGTAAAGGAAAAAGTACACAGCATTCTTTTAAAAAAATCCAGGATATGAACAAATTTGTGAAATTGAAGAAATTTTAGCCAGTAAGCGTGCTGAACTGCCAAGTAAAAAATCCCTAACAATGGAGCAAATAGCAACTTTTGTACATGCGCTCCTAAGTTCCTGTGAGGTGGAAAGAAGTTTTTCCCGCTATAAGGACATCTTACAAGACAATAGGAGGCGACTAACTATGGAAAACCTAAAACATTTGGTAATTGTGAACTGCAGCAGAAGAGAAGTTGAAAGTTCGGAGAGCTAAATGTGAGTACCATTGGTTTTTTAAATTTGTAATGAAATATGTTGGCTCTGTTGCAAGATTTATATTTAAGTATAGCTTTTTATTGGGGCACTCGTAGTGGTTGAGGAGCTATGCTACAAGCCGGAAGGTCACGGGTTCAAGTCCCAATGATGTCATTGGATTTTTTTCAGTTGACCTAATCCTTCCAGCCGCACTAGGCCCTGGAGTTTACTCAGCCTCTAACAGAAATGAGTACCAGGAATTAATTAAATAATTTTTCAGGGGAGTAAAGCGCGGCCGGCGCGTAAGGCTGACAACCTTACCGCTATCTTTGAGTCGATTGTCTGAACAATGTGGGACCCTCAACGTCTCACAACCCTATGGGTCTTCACGCCCTGGTTCGGGGGTAGCTTTACTTTTTTTTATAGCAAGTCAATCATTCAGTGATTACATAAAATGGACTTAAATATTGAATTGTTGGTCTTAAAATAAGGTAAAATCAGTTTTAATATTTGGTATGAATTTTTATGTGCATGTTTTAGTGCATATTTCGGAAGTTTTTCATGCATAAATGCATACATATTCAAGGGATCATTAGGGCATAAAAATTAGGTCCCTAATCATAAGTAAAAGAATTAAATTGGAAAGAAACCCCCTCTCTTCTGAATTTGCACTTGAAATCTGAATATACAGAGTCACAGAAAACGTCCAAACGATAAAATTCCAGATAGTATCAGGAAATCTGGGTCGAAGCAAAGTTATGTTACGACCAAGAGTCTTGTAATTAGGGAATTTTTGTAAACACTGGAATATATAGACACACAATAGTATAGCAACTGCTGGAGCCTATTGCACAATGACCAATGGAAGCATTTTTTTTTGGTCAGCTACCAGTCAAATTTCTTTAAACGTTTACAGTTTTTATTGGTGTCCAGGGTAAATTTTCAATAAGAATTGAATCCAAAGACACTTTTTGCCTACTTGTTCCAATGAATATACCAACCACTTCAATCAAGCCGTTAACAATTTTTAACATTACAGGCAAATGAAATTCTAATGTTACATTAACCTTTGTTACATCTCCCATACAAAATTCGGAAACACGTCTCATTTTTTACGAAATGCAATTGGACTTCATTTGTTTCAAAATAACTATATACTACACATGAAAATATGTGTTGCTTTATTTTTATTATAACTACACTAACACTAACAGTTCATATCATACATGCAAATGTTACGAAGTTTCAGGAATTTTTCTAATATTAAAGTTTCCAGAATTTAAAATTTAAATTTAATATTATGTAAAATTCTCTTGTAACTGGATGTAAAATTCTATGTTGTTTGTGTGGTCATGTCCCACATTGTTGATTGTCCTTCGGCCGGGATTTGCTGTTACACTATATGTTAGAGAAGCTGTTCATGATGCTATTTGTTTCTAGTTTGTTCTCAGTTGTCTTCTTAAGTATGTCACTGTGATTTTGTTTTCTTCCTTAGGGTGTACTGGGTATTCCTTCTGTGTGGGCGTTTATGTCATATCTGTTCCTGGTTACAATGTGGACAGCATGCTCTCCAAAACAGTATCTTCCCACAGAACTACATGGTGTAACAATCCAGAAAGCCACAATCTTAATAATGCAACAGACTATTGTAAAATTCACGCATTATCTACTGACTAACAAGCAAAAAAAAAAATGTAAATATGTGTCAGGACTTTTGGTATAAACTTAGAGACACCCACAGTTTGTTCCAAACTTCATCACAGGTGGCAAAACTCAAGCTTGAACTGAAGAGGATCAGGATTTATAACTTCACAATTCAAGAAAACTGCAGGCTGCATGTGTCAAGTTCCAAATACAAGGAACTGTGGAGAAACTTTTAGGAATTGCACAATCGCTGAGCTCACTGCAGCAAGTCACTAGAGAACAACTTTGAATGGGACAGCATGGAGTACAGAATAGGTTCAGTTATCCCAGTGAAAAATGTACAATCCACAAATTATTTGATCACTCCATATGCAAGAAGAAAGGCGTTTGGTGACGGGGTAAATGAAAGAGAAACACCCAACATATTTCATATTTCCTCAAGACAGTTCTTTATTTATCTAACTGTTATGATCAATAATACTGAATAAATCACCCCCTTCCTCCTTTCTGTTTCACACCAAATAATCATTACAGTTAATAAAATCACTGAATAATAATCATAATAAAAAAGCTCACTAGACTTTTTAAGCTGTTTGTGTCTCATGCTATCATGTTATATAGTTTTCATTTCCAAAGAACGAACTGCTGAGGCACATGGAGGAATGATGCTAACCCCATCTGACTTTCCGACTGATTGGGCATTCCTTTCCTCATCATCTAAAAACTGAAGTGCAGGTCTTGATACTTCTGGTAGACACTCTGAGACTATGAGGTTACTGTAATCATTCATTTCTCTGTGTACGCTTGCGCTGAAACATATGCATGAATGTGAAACTGCTATTCTGTAAACAACAACTGGTTACTACAGTAACATAATATACAGGGTTAGACTAAAAGAAATAGACAGTTTAAATGACTCGTGTTTGTGAAACTTACATGCAGAGCCCAAAAAAGTCGACAACACATGCAAGTTTAGAACTTCAAGAATATAAAGGACAGAGTTTATGTTCCTCCCCTCCTCACAAGTGTGGACAATCTTAAACAATGCATCACAGTAGCTGCTGTGACTGTTGACGTGAGCATGCTGAGAAGTGTTTTGAGCTAGACTACCACATTGATATTTGTCGTGTTACAAAAGGGTCACATATAGAACACTTGTAACTTACCCATGTAAACTTCAGGAAATACTTTTCAAACCATGTAAGGATCTCGGCTATGCTATTAAAACTCTTCTTTCTGTAAAACTTTGAAAGTGTTTATTTCCTTTAGGCTAACCCTGTATTTTACAGACCTATATACATTCTGGTATGGTATCATCAGCAAATTCATGGCATTATGAGTATTATATTGGGTTAATGGAACTCTATTTGTAATTTTATGCAGTCTTTGATTGAAGTGATAGTTCATACCCTGTTTAATAATATTTTTTAATCGCAGAAGTTATAAGGATAAATAAAGAGAAAATTTTATTGTGAATGTAAACAGATAGGGATTCAGAACGATATGGTTGTAGCCTATTTGAATGTACCTGGAAAATGTAACAAGCACAAGATACACATTGGGTACATCATATGTAGTAACTCTATATTAAAATGTTTAATACATGAAATGAGAAGAAAATATATTACAGGAATACCATACTTTTGTAAGTCTCTTTATTATTTTTGACTTTAGTTCTTTACTCTTCAGTTACATAATAACATTTTCAATAGCTAAGACTATATGGTGTCAATCGATAGAATAAGAAAACAGAAAATGGGAATGAATTGTGAGGGAATAGTGTGACCTAATCTGAAGTATTATCCCAGATTTTTCCTGGAGGGTCTGAAAGAAAACACAGAACAGCTGGTCTCCATGGTGAAAATTCAGTCTGGGACCTCTCACATATGAAGCAAGAGTGTTGCCCACTTGACTGCGATGTTCAGTTATCATGTCTTTCAGTTTAGGAATTATTTATTTAGCATGACTAAATGTTGCCTGAAAGATCCTCACTAAAACTGGACATAATGGTTAGTGGAATTTAACTTTGTCATTTATAAATTTAAAATAAACAGTAAACAAACAAGAAGGTTGAAGTCGTAGCTACATGTAGGTTAGCATTTATGTTACCTAGAGATTATTTAAGGCAGGGAAAGGTAGGGTACATATACATAATTAACATAAGGAACTCATGAAAGAGCCAGATGAGCTCAGTGACTATACTGACAGGCTACGAGCTGGATGGCTTGGATTTGATTCCCAACAGGAGCAAGATTTTCTCTTCTCAATAGCACCGAGACCGGCTCTGGGGCCAATCCAGCCTCATATCCAGGGGTATTGAAGGATCTTCCCCTAGCGGTAAAGTGGCTGACCACTTACCTCCATCTAGTGCCAAGGTCAAGAAGAGTGGAGCTACACCACCACTCCCTTGTATGTCTTCTTGGCATGGTGCTTAATTAATTATGCACAGGGACAATTTTACCCTTAACTTTTAATGAACTTATGATATTGAAATGAATGGTGCATCACATTTACATTAAAGGCATGTATGACTAAACATACTTTATCTAACATGACAAGCCATTTAAAAAGCAATAAGCCCTCTGATATCCTTGTATGTTCTTCTTGTTTTCAGAATGTCAAGTTATGTTAGTGTGTTCGTTAACCCATTAGGTACAAAACATTGCATAATACACCACTTGAAACTCTGTCTGTATTTGGTGACGTGTCTTCTGCCATGTGCTAAGGAATTAATTCTTTGTATTCTCTGGAGGTCAGAAGAGAGACAGTACTTTCATAATACAGTGCTGAATGCTTCTACCATCTAGTGTAATTCTTTCAACTTGGTCTTGATGGGCTTATAGCTATAGGTTTCAGCTACATTAATTAAAGAAAATAAGTTAAATGCCACTTAGCTTACCTTTTCTTCAAATATATGAAACTATAAAATTACTTGGAAGATGCTAAAAATAAATTTATATAGTATGTACACTTTGAGTTTGGTGCTGACCTCATCAAGACTTGAACCCACGACCCTCCGGCTTGTAGCATAGTCCCTCAACCAACTACGCTACCTAGTGCCCCCCATTAGTTAGCAGAAGCATTGAAAATTAGAAGACAGTGAGAATCAGAAAGAAGATAGGAATAGTGATGTGACTAATGCTGATTGGTGGAAGTCAATACAGGATCAAAAAGGATACTAATTTAATAAATATAATGTGTAATATGTTTTTAAATGGGCTTATTTACTATCTCTTAACATCTGCTTGCAGTAACTATATGAAATTAATGCATATAATCATGTTTTCTGTTCATCAAGTTTCTGGATGGGGGGAAATTAGGCTATCAATTGTGTTCCATTTTGGTATACAGAGTATTTATATGATTCTAAAAATTTCCAGGGTATTTTTTTTTTATTCAAGACATGCACCTCCACAACAATGATTAGTGTGTTAATATTATATTAATCTCTCAAGTCACATGCTGAAACCACTTTAGGGGAATGTCCTGAGTCTATAGGCTCTTGTTGAGGTAAGACATCAAATATATGACTTAATATATTTATGTGATTATTTTTAAGTTTCTAGAAACACTGAGGACATCATACAGGCTTACTTAGCAATTTAAATTCTTTGTTAGCTGTTGTAATGAATCAGTTGGGAAATGGATAAGGCTAATTTTGAAGTATGGCCCCTAGAATTTTCTGGTGAGAGTACCAGGAAAGCAAATATCTGCATACCTCAAATCACAACTCAAGAATCCTAACAGACTTGTGACAACTGGCCAAGCAACACAGAATATGGAGGGTCTGTGAAATGACAACTGACAGGAAAAGAACTTAAAACACTTCTAGAAACACCTGTCTTAGAGCCACATTGCACACCATAAATCCCATGCAGTGGGATGCAAGTCTGTTTTATATATATTAAAATAAACATGTCTCTTTTGCTACTAAGTTTTATTCTGTCCTTTCAGTGAGCTCTGGATGACATATTACTATAACTTTTTATTTGTGCATCACCTATCTCTGAAATGGAACCAGGAAACACTTACTGTTCTCATTATTTTAGGGGCTGGTATTGGATCACTTCTAAAGTACTGCAATGCTACAAAACTAATATACAGGTCAATTCTTAAGCAGGTCATAGTTATTAAATATTTCCTATTGTGTCACAAAAACTGAATATACAAAACTATAACTTTGTCTATGGTTATGACATGAAGGGAAGAACATAGACTGGGGGTTTTCAAGAACAGGGTGCTGAGGAGAATATTTGGACCAAAAAGGGATGAAGTTATATGTCAGAGAAAACTGCATAATGAGGAGCTTCATAACTTGTGCTTTTCACCAAGTATAATTAGAATGATCAGGTCAAGGAGGATGAGATGGGCATTGCATTCAGCAAGTATTGGGACAGAAGTGAAATGTATATAGAATTTTGATGGGAAAGCCGGGAGGAAAGAGACCACTAGGAAGACCTAGATGTAAGTGGGAGGATAACATTAAAACTAATAAACAATTAATATATTAGGACTTCTACTAATTATTGATAAATATTTTAATACATTTAACCATTTTAACCTGCATGTATATATGTGTATTTATATGTGATGTTTTGTATTTTACATGGTAAGGCCAGAGGCAACGAATCCATTGTGCAAGCAGTTCAGCAATGAATAATGGCACATATTGTTTATAAAATGCCTGATGAGGGTCTAATGACCGAAACATGTAGCCTAGTAACAATTCAATAAACATCAATTATTAAAATTAAAAGTTGTGATTGATGGTTATAAAACATGCCAGTGATAAAAGCAATGGGATGTCCAGCATACAAATTAAAATTAAAATGGATCTTGAAGATGTAGGATGGGGCAGTAGGGTGTGGATTGAACTGACTCAGGATCAGAAGCAGTGGAGGGCTCTTGTAAACTTGGTAATGAACCTTCAGGTGCCATAAAATGGTGGGAAATTCTTGAGTGGATGAGGGACTGTCAGCTTCTCAAGAAGGGCTCAGCTTCAAAGAGGTGGTTATATAGTTAGTTAGTGGAATAAAAGAAACTGATAATAATGTGAACTGATGGCTGAAAGCCAGAACAGTGGAAGAGGAAAATGTGTCCATTGTTAAGTAACAGTGCTGTAAACATTTCTGTTGCAAGAAAGGCTGTCACAACAGTGGAGGAACTGTAGAAGAAACTTGCAACAATAGAAGAACCATTGGAAGCGGTGTTTTCTATGTGGTCTATCCTGAGGCTATATATCAGGGACTGAAGTGTAACTGGACTGAGTTGTTAGCAGTTGAGATTGTGAGTCTGCAGGCAGTCAGTAGTAGCCAGTGGTGGCCAGACACAACTAAGAGTAAATGGCAGTTGTGGCCATGAGGAGCTATGAGACAGTTGGCAGCCCATAAGGACATGAACACAGAAGCTGAAGTCTTCGGTGTTGATATCCATTACCAAGCAATAACTAGCAAAGACGCAGCAGACTGAGTAGGCTTTGTGCATGCTATAGTGAATTCTAGAGTGCTCTAATTTACCCAGGAGCTATAATTAATTGTAGTTACAATTTTTAAGAGTCCAATATATCCAATAATCACTCTAGTCACTAAAAATGTGACAATTACAGCCCCCATCATAAGCAAGTTTGGTCAAATTCACATATTTCTACCATATTTCTCTTTGTTCCAAGTAGAAGTTATTCACCCCCCTTACCACTTGGTGTACCAAGTGTTCTCTTTCTGCTGGTATTACAACCAAAGTTGGCATAAAATTCCTGCTTCATGTAAGCACATAAGCATGTCAGTTCATCATTGTCAAACTATGGAGAGTCTTGTTATAAATTTTTTCTTTCATATTTCATTACTTTATAACAGCAATCATAATTCTAGACCACTGACAACACAAGTAGAAATCTGTAAACAATTTCATATTGTCAACTACAAAGGTGAAAGTGTGAGATGAATGTGCAATATCTTATACAGAAGTCAGCCTATTTGTTCAATGCCATCAAGCCTGCCCACCTTCTGAAATACTCCTCTTCCAACCTCTCACTGAATTCACTGGGTTCTTCTATGCATTCCTCTGGCTTGTTCAGTTTCATGTATTGTCGCAATGTGGAAAACACCTATTACAAGCAATTGCAAACAAATTAAATATTGACATATTTCTACTTTAGAAGAAATAAGTGTAAATAATTGGCAAAACTGGTATGTATACATGAAATCAAATAAACAGTGCAGAAATACAGAAATGATTTCTGAATTTCTGTACATAAAATGATTCATCACCTATCAATTCTAAAAGACAGTATGAATATTCAGAACATGATTATTTTAGTAGGAGATGAGACATATTACAACAATTATCATTGAAATTTCACATCCACCATCCTAAATAAATACAGGTCTCCCTCAGTTTACGAAGGTAACGTATTCCACGACAACTGTGCGCAAGATGAAAATTCATAAATCAGAAATCATATTCCTCTTACTTTAATGTAAAAGCTGCTAACTTGTCCCAGAAGAATTCCCCATTATTTTTAGCGTAAGTTATAACAATAGAAAAGTATCTGAGTGAGGACAGTATTACAAGGAGGGAGCAGTTCAATGGCCGTGGCAAAATCTTGCAGGGACTCTGTAGGTTTCTGCGTCCTTGTTCTTAACTGGCAGTGGTAAGCCGCTGCAAAGTGTTGGTCCCCGAAACGGTCCTCTAGAGCCTGAAGAGTTTCCTCGTAAGTTGTATTGGCCGGAATGCCGGGTAGTATTTCTGCCGCCCGGCCCTTCAGAGCGGTGATCAGGTATGTTAATTTTTCCCTCTCCGACCATTGGTTGTGTTCTGCTACGGTCTCGAATTGTCGCCGGAACACGTTCCACGTTGAATTCCCGTAGAATGTCGGTGGCTGAGCTGTGCTCGCGACGATCGTTGCTGTATTTCCCCGCTCGGCCTTCATTTGCACTATGTCTAATCGGGCCTGGAACTCGCGCTTGGTTTCGTCAATTGCTGCGCAGGTTTCATTGAAGTTTTTCGTCAGGTTTTCCTGGAGTTTATCTGTCCGCGCGCGGAGGGACACGTCAATCTGCTCAGTTATTTCTGACCGGAGAGTCTGTTTGTCGTGTTCAACGATCGCCAAAATGTTTTCGACTCTATGTTGGATTTGGTCATCCAACTCTGACCGCATAGATCGCATTTCGGCCTTCAATTCTTCCTTGTCGGCCGCCGCCTTTTCTTGGTTGGCGTCTAATTTGGCCATTAAATCCTCTTTGTCTTTCCTTCTATCGGCTTTCATTTCTTCCTTGTCAGTTTTTCTATCGGCATCCATTCT